TATATATATATATATATATATATATATATATATATATATATATATATATATATATGCTCTAAGCCTTTGACTATACCCACACAGCACAAAAATATTAAAGCAATATTAAATATGACATTAGGGAAAATATTTGAGTAACATTTGTAAACGTGAGAAGAATATTATTCTGATCTTAAAATGTTACTTTCCGGAACATTAAAGAAATGATGCAACCAAATATTAATACAAGGTTGGTCAATATTACATTTAATGTTGCTTTGTGCTGGAAATAATATTACTTTTAATACCATAAAATGTCAGGATAATATTAAAAGAAAGGAAAAGAAAATGTATATTCTTTATATATTTCAATTTTATTGAAAATTATGATAAAATATAAGAGGAACAAAATCATGAAGAACATATAATATTTTCCATATATAAACATATATGCATTAAACATATAATGCCACGCTGAAAAACGTTAATTATATAGTTAATATCCCAGATAGCACAGCGAATTCGAGAAGAATTCAGTCATATATTACCATTTCTGAGTTTATTTTAAGTGCAAAAAGAATTCTTTTCGCTGAATTGAACTCTAAAGAATTCTTCTTGCATTTGAAAGTGAACTCAGAATTGGTGACATATATTGGTGACATAATTATTGGATATGTCGCTAAGAAATATAATAAATATGAAAATAAATATATAAATATAATATGAAATATGCCGCTAAGAGAATATAAAACATTATTTTATTCGAAAAATAAATTCATTTACAACATATGGTCAATTAAATGTTTATATGATGTCATTATTGCTAAGTTTTTTTGATATATTAAAACATGACGTTAAATATACGTCACTTAGTCGACATATGACATCACTGACTAATTATGACTAGATATTGACGTCAAAATAACGACTGTTTGCTATCTAGGATTCAGGGGTATATGTATACCTGTTGATCACCCTTTCCCAGAAGTCTACAAGGTTAATAAGAAGGTAAATGATATTTTTCAGTTAGACATGTCGGATTCGTGCGAGACAACTGGAGGTTTACCACTCTTTCTTAAAGTTTATCGTGATAACGAATATGTAATACTAATCAATGGTTCAGTGTACCATCAAGATCAGAACATTATCCTTCATCCAACAACTTACTGCTTCGCCGTCATAACCAACAAATATGAACTGATCAATATAAAGTGCATCAATAACGCAAAATTAGACATTGTTCCTGTTGGTCTAATAGTGTCCTTGCCGTTTCTGCTATTGACGTTCATGGTGTATACGATACTGGAGGAGCTTTGGAACTTGCACGGCTACATACTTCGTGGATATGTCGGCTCGTTGTTCGTCGTATTTATAATTTTCATGATCCAGCTAGTCCCTCCGGGGACAGATACGTCGAATGAAGTCTGCATCGCATTAGGTACAACTTTCACAAATCATATAACCGACCTATAAATCGGAATTTGTTTCTGTTAGCCTCGATTTGTACTAATAACTACTGTACATTACTACCTGGTGATTGAGTAATTAAATTAAATTAAATTTTAATTAATTAAAAATTAAATTAAATTTTAATTAATTAAATTTAATTTAATTTAATTTAAACGTGTCAAGTAGGCGCGGCTATATAAAATTAATCAGACTACGTCTGGGTGTATAAATCTCCCTTTCCTTTTCTTATTGAAGACACTCAGATAGTACAGAGAATTTAAAGAAAAGATTTAAAAAGAATTCAGTAACGCGTATATTACCAATTCTGAGTTTATTTTTAGATGTAAAGAGAATTCTTCAGAGTTCAGTTCAGTGGAAAGAATTCTTTTTACATCTAAAAATAAACTCAGAATTGGTGACGTACGACTGAATTCTTTTTGAATTCTCTGTGCTATCTGAGCATTGAATCTTTACGCACTTATTATAACGCGGCACTTTCCCGTAAGTTTCCGACACAGAAAGAGAACATGCAGTGTAGTTTTCACATAAGATGTATTAATAGCTATAAGACTCTCTGACATCTAATTCGAAAATAGACGCAGTTTACTGGACTGTTTCAGCCTTCATCACTCAATTCTGGTTTTCGGCGAGCTTCTTCTGGTTGAATGTGATGTGTTTCGATATTTGGTGGAGATTTGGGTAAGAATGACGAAGTATTTGGCATTATACTTTATTTCATTATTTTATCGAGCTTTACTTACGCAACATCACGATGATTGTAGCGCGTACGTATGGCCATCGTAGTATTTTTAAAACCTTGAAACCAGACACTGGAATGTGTGTAATTGGGTTGCTGCGTTATAAATCTAAATACCAGTTCCCAGCTAGATGTGTGATTCGAAACTACGTCATTAACGTCGAAATTTGCTAATTATTATACGACGCAAATTTTGAATCGATAACTTCCGACATTAACGATATCATCCCAATAAATTGTATTTGGCTGTATCATCCCTTAAGAATAGTTCGCGTCTTCTATAGTATGTGTTAGAACATCCTGAAAGTGATATTTACCAGAGTACTGTATCACTTTGACAAAAATAATATTGCATAATTATTTCTACAGAACACACAATCTAAAATCGGAATTTAAGACGTCTTGTGTTCTGATTTTAGACATTGTGTTGCGTTGGTTTCTTCTTACTGTCATTTATCAGAAAATATGTTCTTAATAAGAAATTATTACTCGCAGAAGCATTATTTAACTTTCGGTGTATATACATAAACGATATACAGGGTGTCCGGTAACTGATCGAGCAACTGCCGTGTACGGGTAGAACGGGTCAAAACAATCATAAAATATACCATTATATACCATTATATAAAATATCATTATATACCATTTTTATTAAAATATCATTATATACCATTTTGAAATTTTCTCAATATTTATTCCGTAATTAATTAAAATGTATAAACGAATAAGCTCACGAGAAGCGGTAGAACAGGCTCTGTGTGTAAAAGAAATGGTTTATGCCAAAGAAGTAACGTATACGTATTGCTTGTTACTCCGCCTCGAAATCAGCAGTTTATTTATCGTTGCTAAGAGGTAAACCATTTCTTTTACATACAGAGCCCGTCCTACCGCTTCTCGTGAGCTTATTCGTTTATACATTGTAATTAATTACGGAATAAATATTGAGAAAATTTCAAAATAGTATATAAATTTTATGATTATTTTAACCTGTTCTACCCGTACATGGCGATTGCTCGATCAGTTACCGGACACTCTGTATATGTTATAGTTAACCCAATAAAAAATTTTTCATACATAATTATAAAATTATATAAAATTATTATTTTATACTATTTTATATTATTATATATATATACAGGGTGTTCGGAAAGTACCGGGACGCCCGAATATCAGGAAAAATATAAGTTTTACAAAAAAATGTTTCAGACAAAAGTTGTGGCGTTTAAAAAGATGTATTTACTGATCACATCAGTTTGACCTTGGGTTGCGTAGCGAAGGTCAGGTCAA